TCCCCATGTGGACTGACTGCCTGTTGCCCTGTGCTACTGCCTCTGATACAGCCCAATGCAAACCAGAACCAAGTCAGGCTGCACTTTAAATGCAGAGCTGCAGCGGGGGGTAGGTCCCAACCCAGCGCAAGCCAGGACTAAGCGAGGCTGCTGGCCAGCCTGCTAAAAAAAGGGAATGCATGTAGTCTACAGCATTAATCTATAAGCTTTTGACAATTGGTTAATCAACTACACTATTACATCCCTATCCAGCACCATGGGAGCATGTTTGGGGAGAGAGACTAGCGCACCAATGCTGACTCTCTCATTGTGGGGGAGCCTGAAGCTCTGGATCCACACCCAGGGGCCACACCCAGCCTTAGGATCCCCACTTCTGATAATATTTGTATGCACTTAAAAGTATGTGAGAGTATAAAGATGAGAATTGTCTTGATGTGTAAACTTGACGAAAACTAATGAAGGACTGCACCTGAGTATCACACTGTGTGCATGTTACGTTTACTCATCTCATGAGATTGGAGTATTGGAAATGTACAAGACTGCCAACTTCAAAAGATGCATTGTAGTTGACAATGGAAATTCACAGACTGCATTTAATCATCAAAGGAAGAACCCATGCTGTGAATGAAAGCATCTGCCAGAGTGCAGGATCTATTCTAATAATATATTTCCAGGGAAGGCAATCGAACATTTATCTCTGAAAGGTTTTCTTTGCTAATAAGGTGGAATACTGAACAAGTGAACAGGAATCCAAAGAATTACTCTGAGTAACCCTGAAGAACTTTTGGTAATTTAACTAATTACTAAAACATTAGGAGTTGTAGATTTATAACCTTTGACTCAGCTCTTAAATGTATTTTACCTACTTTAACCTCTCAATAACTCATTTCCTTTTCTTAATTAATAAATCTTTACTTTATTAGAGAAATTGGCTGCCAGAATGGTTTTTGTTGTGATGTAGAGAATATCCATTGACCCATAGTAAGCAAGGGACCCTTTGAGGTTGGGAGTAACTTAATGAGATATGATATTTGATATAGTGACCAATATAACAAAGGCCAGCTGATCATGGAGTGAACATTTGTTACTAGTTTGGCAAAATCTAATTGGTAGACTATACAACCAGTTTTGTGAGTATGATGTGACAGTCTGACCTGAAAGTGGCAACTGTGAGCCATTTCAGACAATGTGACAAGTGATGTAGGCAGCACAATTCAGATGCTACTGGTCCATTGGGCTTAAAGATCAGAAGGCAGAAAGAAATCTGAAGTTTCCCTGCTCAGAACTGATGTGAGAGAACTAATATTTTCTCAGGACACCTGACATTTGCAGCGACACAAAACCCAAACCCAAACCCATTAGGAATAGAGGATTTGAGATGAGAGCAAAAATCTTAAACAAAAATGTATAAAAATATCAAAGAGAGATGAATGCTATACTGCTAGGGCATCTGTTGCAGCACTGCATTAGCTAAGGGAACATAACTGTTCAGGAGAGATTAAACAGAAGTGCAGCTACTGGAAGTCACAGCTTCACTGGCTTCATTGGAGCTTCGTAGCTGTACCCCAGCAGAGGATGTGCCCAGTATTTTTTTGAGCAATATACTGAATAAACACACACACACACACACACACACACACACACACAAGCACAGAGATCCCCACAAGCTCACTCCTGGACACTAAATGGGATTAAGAAGAAACAGCCTGCCAGGGACACCTGGAAACCAAGGTGAAAGTAACCCATGCACTGCTCCAGAGTGCACCAGCTACGAGACTGCCAGCTGGGCGTGGGGCTCTGGATGTTCCAGCACTGGGGACCCAGCAGACTGTGAAGTGTGGAGACCACACACTTCCAGCCCTCAGGTTCCCCCACACTCTACAACCCCCAGTCCTGTGCCTCCATCCCACTCAAATCAACTGCACTCTTCTCACCCCTGCTCTCAGCCCCCCTCACACCCTGCAATCCTTTGCCCTGACTCCTGAACTAGGGATGTTAAATAACATTTAATCAGATAATCGAGTAATCGATAATTTCCATCAACTACCTGATTTGTCGATAAGTGGGGAACTGCAGAGCCACAGCAGGATTAGCTCCCAGCCCTTAGCTGCCAGGCTCTTAATACATTTAAAAGGCAGATGGTAGTGGGGGACTGGGTGCAAGCCGGGACTCGGTTGATTCCTGGCTCACAACCAGTCCCCTGCTATGCCTCTTCCTCCATTGCCTCCACCCCATCCCCCCTCTCCCTTAGAGATGGTGGTGCTGGGGAGAACTGGCTTTTAAGCCGGGGTGAGAAGGGTTGCAATACAACAATATCAATAAGAAATTTAAGTTACGTTTTCCTCTGGAATCCTTCTCAAATAGGATAATTGGGCTGTTTCCCCTGCTGAGCATGTATTTGATATGTATGTTCAAAATGCTGCAGGATGTTCAAAACCCATCAATACAACTATGCTTTGCTAAGGTCCCAAGCTTACAAGCAATCGCTGTGGCACTAAATACTGAGTAGGTACAGAACATTTCCCAGTAAGGAGATGGGCCTGTCAATAAGCAAGTCTTAAAATGAACACTGAAACAGAGAAACCTTTGTTTTTAACGTACAAAATATTCTCATGCTGGGAAAGCAAGCCTCAGGAAGGAAAGGACAGGTGAGAGGAGTGTTGTGTGATAGTAACTCCAATTCACAGAGTACCACTGATTTTCAGTACACTATAAGCAGGTTGGATTGTCAATAGAATTCACACACACAGCTCAGACTTAACCCTCTCACACTTCCTGATTTTCTGTATTGGTAACACATAAGCAGAATGCAAAACGGCCTTGGCTTAAGCTTTCTCCCTAAAATATCTGCGCAGAAACTAGCCTCTCAAAAAAAATATAAAATTACTCCCCACATATGTTTACATCTGTATGAACAGACTTAAGGAGCCATTTCTGCTAAGGAGTCTGCATCCTGTCAGGGGTTAAACATGCTGCATCAGGAAAGAATTCCTTCTAGCCGATTAAATAAGAATGGCCATACAGGGTCAGACCAAAGATCCACTATCCCGCCCTACAGGCCATACAGGGTCAGACCAAAGATCCACTATCCCACCCTACAACAGTGGCTAACGCCAGGTGCCCCTAAGGCCGTGGTCACCAACAGGTCGATCGCGAGCTACTGGTCGATCGCGAGGCCTCGACCAGTCGCTCGTGAGGCGTCCTGTCTGCCCTGCCCCCCATTTCCCTTCCACCCCCGAGAAGCCCCACTACTTACATCAAGGAGGGATGAGTCAGCCCCGCGGGAGGCACGCAGGGGGTTTCGCAGCGCGCGCGCGTGGGGGGGAAGGTTGGCCCCGGGGCAGGCTTGCACGCGAGGCTTC